GAAAAAAGTGCCATACTAATCAAATGCGAATATGTACTTTGGGTGTCGGATCCGATGCCACGACACCGATGATAGATGTCAATTGCAACACAATTATATTCGCATGAAATGGAAAAAAGCCGGAACAATTTTTTCCAACAATAATTTTAGCAATGGCAATTTACGCTTCTCGTTATACCCTTTATGTTTTTTGCTGAGCACATTTTGAAGTGGGCTTTCCACAGCCACCGTTTGTCATTTTGGATTCTTTTTTTTATGTTCAATCATTGTTCACACTGTTTTGCACGTGCTTGTGGAGGTTGACATCGGGTTTATACCGCATGTCTGGCCAATATTCTAATCATAAATATTTTTATATTAGACGAATCACAGTATATGTTATTACATCAAAAACAAGAAACTTTTTTCGTTTCATATTTCCCAGCCGCAACTTTTCCCTTCAACATCAACACGTGCTTGTGAAATTGGTAATGGATGCGTGCGTGGGTCGACGTTTCTATGTAAAGTGCCACGACAATTGATTAAGCGTTGATTTTAAATATAGGCATTCTCAATGTGTTGAGACGAAAGTAGAAAACCCCATTCAAAACAAGAACTTATTAATTAAAGCATTCTGCATACATAGAAATGATAAGGGATTATTGTTCCGAATGAAAAAGTTCGTTTCGCATCAGACAACACAAACGTTTTGCAAAACAAGAAAACAACACTTTTGTACATCTCCAATGCACAATTAGAACGTTGTGTCACAAAGCATTAAAAAAATTTGAAAATGGCAAGGGAACACGAGGAGAAAAGTTGAAGCGGAATGAAAAAAAAAAATAATCCGCAAATAAGGATAATTGTCTTTTCTAAACATTTTACATTTCAATTTCAGAATAAATGGTCCATGCATATAATTTGTGCTGTGTGACAAAACAGTGTTACAAAAACACAAAATTGCTTATGATTTTTGCGACACACAGTGAATGATTTCGTTAATGCGATTGAGGCGCGGTACGGTGAATGCTTCAAAGATCATCGCGTTTGTGTAATTATTTTTTTTTCTCTTCTTCTTTTGATAGTGACTTGAAGTAAATTAAATGCCGCAGCTCATTGTAATGAGTTTAATTTTGTGCGCGCGCCATAAGAATTGTTTTGAAAGTGTGAAAATGAATGAGCGCATTCGTCCGTCGTCAGCAAGTGTAAAATGAGAAGAATTCTTCTAAGAATGATGACGACGATGTAAACGGCGACGACAACGGCGACAATGAATGCTTGGGACAACAACGTATTGCGCCCGTTTACGAGCATTGCCAACGCGATAAGAGTAATGGCACGATAAAAAGAAGAGAAGTCACACCGAAACGTAAACGAGCAAATGGAATGCTGCAAAAATGAAAACAATTTAAACACTTTTTTTCGAGATTATTAATTAATGGTGTATGTGTGTGTGTGTGACTATGAGATGTTGTGTAAAAAGGCAAGTAATTTTCATTTTTTCCCACTTTCCCTTCATAAATCTAATGATGATGACAATAATAATGAAACAGCGAGACAGCGAGAACCATTCATGGGCATCCCTCGAGCATGAGGAAAAAACAACGTAATTAGATGATGACTCTCTATAGAAGCTGTTGCAAAGCATTGACGTTGGCGCATGAAAAATCAGCTGTGGATTCAATTGAGTTTCATAGGACACAGCTTAAGCTGACTCGGCACAGAAATGATTAGAGTGGTGAAATCTGATGATTCGTACACAAAAACCTCGACAATTACCGTTTGAATTGTACCGAACTTTTTGTGGGCATTTATTTTTTTTGGTTGAGGTTGAAAAATTAGAATTTCCAACCTTGACAACGGCCAAATGTTTGTCATTTCTTCTTCGCCACGTATTCGAAATATACAATCACGTACTTTTAATTAGATTTGAATTGGGGCAAATCGAAAAAAACGACATTTTTGTTGCGCATGGCAAATAGGAAAAGTTGCAATTCAACTACCGTATCAGTTTTTCGTAGCAATTTTCAAGCAAGGAAAAAAATTCATATTTTATTAAATTACATGGATTCACTCCGACACTTTTTACCATATATCTCGTGCTTTCTCTCATTCTATCGCTATCTCTTCTTTTACCGTGCGCGCTCGTGCTCAACTGCTTAGAGGCTTACGTAAGCTCATTCGATTTCATAATATATATTCTAGTTGATTGTCGGGAAGAAAAAAGTTATGCAGATTTGGTGCGAAAAAGATATTATGTGCTGCACAGGGCTGGTTGTTATTGGTTTTGTCGTAGCGTTAAATGTGGTATACATTACGAATACACTCAAAGTCACTCAATCTGCAGCGAAATCACAAGAAGGAGAAAAAGAAGGCGAAAGAAGAAAAAAGGCAACAACAGAAAGTAAATTATGGTAAAGTCTCGCTGCGATGAGTATGTCGTTACGTTGATATGGTTTAGACTTTGGAATTATGTGTTTCTGCGTACATGGTGAAAAAAATAAAATTCAATTTTAAATCAATTTTCAATTTGGTCGCCGTATACGTTAAAGAGTTGTTGAAGGATTCTTGAATATAATAGATTGTGTCGTAAGACTTGCAATCTTATGATGAGCAAGAGTGCTAAAGAGAACACACAAAATAGCCGCCAGTCATAAAATCACTTCGAATTTAAATTTTCCATATTTTTCGTTCACAATTTTTCACCAGCATCAAGTTTTTTCGAACAAATCTTTTCTCAAGTTCATGCTCATCAAATTAAAGTGGTTGAATTTGAAGTGTCGATGGCGACGTCAAAATTAATATCAACATAAATTTAAGTGAATTTTAATAGAAAATTCGAGAATCCATCGTCCATGATTTACACAGATTGTTAGTAAATGAAGATAGATAGATAGAGAGAGAGAGAGAGAGAGAGAGAGAGAGAGAGAGAGAGAAAGAGATGTGAATGTTGTACTTAAACATATCTTTGCTACAAAATTATCAATTTTTTTACATAAATAACATTAATGGGTCAAATTGAATATGGCTTGACTTCGGTCTTACAATTGAATGCTATGCATACCAGTCTTAAAAATTTTGGTTGGCATTTTCTTGTTCAAAACACTGTTGGGGAATGAATTAAAGTGTGAGCAAAACGATTAGAAATGAAATGCATTAAGTTTGAAATTAAATTTGGAAAATCCACAGTGAATAGACCACTTTCTTCAGCATTATACCACAAACGATGAAAATGGAGAGCTATATTAGATAAGTAGTCAAATTCTAACCGATTTCAAACTTTGAACAAATATGTACTAGAAAACAACCTCAAAGTGTAAATTTAAGGCAAGTTGGAAAGGTACAATTCAAAGCAGTCATAAGATTTTTCACCCTACATAAATATTCAGTGCAAGGTAAAATACTGTATTATGCCAAATTTGAAGCTCTTTTCGTAATGACATCAAACTTTGTACAGGCTATTTCAATACAAATTTTTTGAGCCAAAAATAGAAAATATTGTATGGGTACTCACCTCTACTTGTGATTGAAATTTCTTCCAATTTTGTGAAATTATATATTTTGATAAGAAAATAAGATCCACAAGTTTTTTCATTGTGATTAAGTTACTGCAAGTATATATTTTGGATAGAACGTCGATCAATTTCGAGTCACCAAAACACATCAATGACTTCATCACCGTGGAAACTTGTGAATCTTATTTTCGTGCCAAAATACATAATCTCAACAAAGAAGAAATTTCAACCTCAAAGAGGGTATCCCTAATTTTGATTGAAAGAAACGATGAGATTACTGCCTAAAATGATAAAAAAATAAAATTCACGTATAGTTGGCGCTACATTCTATGTAATAAGCGTATACTTTCCACTTAGTCCGTTGCAACGGAAAACAAGTTTGCATAGAATGCAGCGCCAACTATATGTAAATTTTATTTTTCATCGTTTTAGACAATAATTCTATTATTAACAACAATTGTTCCCTATAACTCACTGAGGATGAAAGCATTGCTTTCGAAATGCGCATCTGAGAATTTTACAATTCTTAATAGTGTAATATTTGTTGTTTTTCAATAAAAAGATAATAATTATTCTAAATTACACGTTAAACTCCAAATAAAAACATTCACTAATTCTACGGTTTTCTTACGGCTTCTTTCTTAAAACTTTCAGAATTTTATTTTTTGTGTAAAAAATAATCTGTGCAAAGTTTCACGTCGTTACGGTAGCATAATGGCATGGCTCCCATACAAAAATTCAATTTTTTGTGATTTTTTCAAAGAAACTCTGTCAAAACTTGATTGTATCTCAAAACTAACGTCGGATTCCGTTTTCTCGTGCCAAAAAACCTCCACTACACATTTCAAACTTTGATTTACGTCTCTGGGGAAAGATTTATCGTGTTAACAAATTTTTGCATACAATACCATGGACATGCATACATTTAAGGGTACACTATGGATACACCGATGAACGAATATCGCTTAAAAACAATACCAGCCTATTCCTCGCAACCTCCAACCACCCTGTAAAGTCAGATTTGGATTTGCTTTTCTCTAAAAAGAGTTATCGTGCTAACAAAAAGGTTAAACATTTTGTGTACAGTACCCAAAACGCGTAGAAAAACGATTTTTAGCGATTTCAAAATTTTGGGGTGATTGCAATACTTTACTGCACACAGTGGGTGTGCGGAAAAGTAAAAACATCATTTTTCAAAACAGAAATCGAAATCAAAAGGTCACAAAAAATCAATTCATTTCAAACGTCAGCTCATCAAATGGCGATATTTCTATTCATTTTTTGTTTTTTTATTATTTTTAGAACAAGATACGTGTTAATGGACTTTATTTGGATGATAGTCGATAGGTTCAAGTCGAACAATGCGTTATCAAGAGCCGCGCGCAGTCAATTTTTTTTCAAAGATTTATTTATCTGTGTAAAACATTTTTTTATGTTTGCGTCATTCATGTGGTATATATTAAGAAGAACGCATTGATTAATTCGCATTATAGCTTATATAGTACGGATTATATTACGAATGATTCGATTTTTAACTACATAATTTGCAAAGTTTCTTCCAAAGAGAATAAACAAATACGTTTTTTTTAAATATTTTCATCATGTTAAGTTCAATTAAAATGTTAAAAGTGTCTCATTTTGCATCTAAAATGTGTCGTTTCACCGGACAAATTATACGTGAAAAATGTTCATCGGTTGGTGCTATAAATACATTCGAAAAACCAAAAAGGTATTCGTTTGAAAAGGACATTTAATTCAATAGACATCAATTCAATTAATCTTATATCAGTTTTCCATCACGGCATCATCGTCATTTCTCTGTAAGAACTAATTCAGTATTTTTTGTTTTGATTCGTCGACAAATACAGTAAACAATACTCATTCGAATATCCACCAGAATTGCGTCGAGAACACGAAGAATTTATGCTTTTGTTTCCCGGTAAAATTTCCATTTTCACTTTATAATTGATACTTTTTCATTATTGAATTTCAGTTGTGTGATTTAAGTTTAATAAGTATTTTAAGAGATTGTAATAATAAATTTCAAAAAGTGAGATTTGCTGTAGTTCTTGTAGAGTATTGTAAACAAAGCTGACCATTTGAATTACATGATTTTTTCCGCTATTTCATTTTCTTACTCATATTTTCTGATAGAAAAATGTTAATTTTTTAAATAGATGTAGTTAATCACTTAACGGAGTATGCTGCAAATAATTTTAAATTGATGGATGCTGCAAAACATTTTGCCAATGTAAATATCAATATAATTTCTATAAATTTATTTACAATTCAAATCAAACAATACGAACACGACTAGGCATTGGAATACGATGTACCAAATGGTAGAAAAAATCGCGGCCTAAACGCTGTTATCGTATACAAAGATTTGATTGGGAAGGAACGACAGACATCAGAAAATATTAGGCAAGCTCAAATTCTTGGATGGTGCATTGAACTTGTACGTAAAATTCACCCATTTTTTATTCAATATTTTTGTTATTATAATTATTCATCTTTGAAGAGGAATATTCGGTACGACAAAGGAAAACTCTACATTTAAAAACGCCGTTTTAATATTTTCAAAAGATCACAAATAGCATAGTTTGTCATATATTTATTATTTTCCTTTTCTTATTTGGGTTAGATGGTATCCTCATATTTTATGGCAGACGATATTATTGACTGCAGCAAAATAAGACATAATAAACCATGTTGGCATACGTTGAACAACGTAAAATCAATTGCTGTCAATGACGTTTTGATGATTGAAAATGGATGTTACTTACTGTTAAAAGAATTCTTTGGACATTTTTCATGTTACCCGCGCATGTTTGAGTTGTTTCAGGAATCAACAATGAATGCATACATTGGACAATCGCTTGACTTTCAAATTGGCAACGGTGATATTGCGCAATTTTCAAACGAAAAGTACATTTGTATTACAAATTATAAAACAGCAGCATTGTTATTATATGTTCCAATCGCATTGCCCATGATCTTCGCAGGGTGAGTGTTGAACAGATAACAGCGAATGAATTTTTATGAGATTCTATTTATAATGATAGATACGAAAATGAGCAAATGTTCGAAGATATCAAGAATATTAGCAATGATGCGGGACATTTTTATCAAGTACAAAATGATTATTTCGATTGCTTTAACGATGCGAATGTACTGAGAAAACCTGGCACAGACATTGAAGATGGAAGATGCACATGGCTAGCAGTTACTGCAATGGAACATGTCTCAGATGAACAAAAAGACATATTAATTAAATGCTATGGACAAAATGGTAGTTTACATGTTTTCTTCTTTCTCACACACATCAAAGTAAAGGAGCATTGATCATGAATGGCCTTCTGCTACGTACATATTTTCGATGTGCTCGATGCTCTTCACTGGACAAAAATCGATCAGATTGAATTTTGATATTCTTTTTTCACTCTGACCCACAGATGCAGAATGCATTAGACAAGTAAAGCAAGTGTACAAAGATTTGGACTTACCCAAACTCTATAATCAGTTTGCAGACCAAACTCATTACAACATCAAAAAGAAAATTGAAGCATTTTCACAACAGTATGATTTACCGCCGAACATTTTTCTCAAGACATTGAACACATTATTTGCAGATCAAATGATTTATAAATCAGATTGAATGTCTTAGATTTTTTAAAATAAGATAATAATATTTTTTCACTGCAAATATTGGTGATAAAAAATGTCATATTTGTTCTCTGATTTTTTATATGTACTTGAGGTTGTAACAGTTCTATGTGAAAAATATTAAATTAAACAATATGAAACATTTTGTTGGTAGAACCTTCCATTTTAAGTACTCAGGCAATAACAAGTGCAATAAAAAATAAACAATTGAATCGTTGCGGCGAAAAAGTTCTTATTTCATTCCAATAACTTACATTAACGTGAAATTGTTTTAACATAGGTTTGTTATTGTAATTACAACAACTTTTTCTATTCAAATTTTAATCAGTTTATTTTTCATCCGATTTCAGTGAAACTTTCAGGGGTTCATTTTCTTAAAGACTCAATTCCTCTAATAGTTACAATTTGACATTTTGATAATCTGATGACGGATTTGCATTGTCCAAGAGTAAATTTTTAATTAGTAATTTCTATACATAAGTTATACAATCTTTTGCAATAAATGCTTTGTGAACCTATCGGTCGGAAATTGACTACACATCCCTCTCATTCAAAACGGAAATGAACCAAATGCATATTTTCGTGTCCATCTATAAAATCTAAACCGATTAATTTATCTCTGTATATAACATAACCGTTTTAATTTTGTTCAAAATCTACATTGTTCGTATGAATTTCTCGAATACGGTTTATGGCAAATCGAAACCATCGGCATCGTTACCATAATATTGTTTGTCTGTTACATTATGTGAGAAAGTCACGTTATTTGATTGTCCTGAATCTCGTACACATACAAATTATATAAGCAAAATGGTTTACTTTTGATGTGGCTAATTCAGTTTTCGTTTTCTATAAAAATAAATATTGTACGTAAGCGAGCCCAAATGTTTATCGCTCAAATACGTGATCTCTCTGCACAATTGAATAAATGTAATGCCATCGTTTGTACACCCGCCATTTGTTTTTGGCCTACAAAATTTATTGCTCCACGCATTCAGAATATTATCCAAGTAGTTTATGTAGTATTCATAGGACAGGGATTGTCCAACATCTTTCTATTCTCAACACAAACAAAGGCACACACACAAAACACTTGACTAATCTTTATTTGTTCAAAGAATAACTGACATTCTTGCGTTATTTTCATCCGGACACAAATCAACTTTCACACAGGAAAATAACAAGAAAAACGATAAAATTACAATGATTACGATATTGTTCTCAATCAATTTAATTGCTTTGAATTGTTTTTGTACACGTCTCTGGTACAGTTGTAGAACCTTCAATTTCCTTGAACATAACCGGGGCGTGCACAGTGCACATACAAAAAAACGTCTCATCTTTTTTTCGCAAACTAGGTTTATAAAGCATCGTTGATACTAAAATTTATTGTCATTCCCAACAAAGCTTTACTTAGCATAATGAATCATTGAGTACAAACTAAATTAGATTTCTCTCTTAATTCGACGGCTCGCAGCGAAAGAAAAAAAGAATATTCAATTTACGAAAATGTATCATTCTGTTTTTAAAACAAATGTACAACCGTTGTTGAGTGTTTCGAAGCAGAAAAAAAAACAGTCGTGTGCGCGCACAATTGTTCGCTTCACTTCACTTTGTTGGGTGTATTGTTTTCATTCATGATCCCTATTTTGATTTATATCACAATATGATAAATTTACTAACGAAAATTCCAGCATGTTGATAATATTAGGTGTGCGGCACCATTCGTGTTTTTTGGCAACATTTTCAAGATTTACTATTTGAAATTCGAGCGACAGGAGTTGAAAATTGGTTGCTCGCGATAACGTAAAATTCAAAGTTCGTAATTTTTTTATCATCGTTTTGTCTGCTCGTCGTCTCTTTTGTGCTTGTGCCGGATACAAATGTATGAATGAATGAAAGGGATAGAAGCCCGACAGGCATATCAAGAGATGAAGATGCTTTTGGTTGTGTGGTGAAGAGAGTACGAAAGAGAAAGAGTCATAAAAAAACCCCGATGCTGCAACAAGAAGTGTTGGCAAACATTGTAAAGGCAATGAACGAAGGCAATGAACATCGCTCAGACACAAACACACAAACATCGAATAAAAAGCGCCAAAGCCTTGTTTTGCTGTTTGATGACTGCCCATTAATTTTAATGAAGACATTAAAATAAATGCTTTTGCTTCGCAGTTAGATTTCGTTTGTGCGGCTTTTTTTCCTTCTTCAAATGGATGAGCATGCTCATCATTTGGTTTGGCCAGCGGCTTTGTGTTTTTCTCGCTCATTTAGTCACTTTTTCTTTTGCTTAAGCTGGTATTCGGTCGGTTTGTGCTCGAGTTGTTTGCGAAATATATACAAAATAAAAACGAATTGTGTTAGTGATCATCTCGACAGAAACCATTGAACGAAGGAACGACCGATGCCAACTTTATGTGTGTACCGATTCTATTATTCAATGTCTGATCCGACTCAACTCGAGAATGAAAGAGACAAAAAGAAAGAAAGAGAAAAAATCAAGAATAAATAAAAGAGTAACCTCGATGTGTTTAATGAATTCGAATACCCAAAGTGAATGTGCACATAAAAGGTATGAATGTTTTAAAAATGACTCGAATATTCGCTACTACAATATTGGATTCGAAGCCTATGCGGCACATCGGTATTTTTGATGGGGCCGTCTGCTCATTCGCTCTCTCTTTCTCGCTCTCATTCTCTGCTGCTGTTTCATTTCCTTTCCACCAACAATGCAACTAAATTTTATTTACGTTTTGAATATTTGAATATAATACGCGGTGCCATTGTCGATGTGCTTTTTCGCTGGCGCTCATTTTGATAGAAACAGATTGCTCTAATCATAAAATTTAAATGAGACACCGCTTATTGGATTTCAGTAGCATGAATATCACCACTACCGTTGATTTCGTCAACGTTGGCGCCACCAAAAATGTCATACCGATCCACATTCGTTCAAAGTATTTTTTTTTTTTACTTGAAACAATTCGAACAAAAAAAATAAACGAAAAAACAATCCAGGCCATTGCGTTGCGACATCGACATCGTTGTTTGCCCAAAGGAATCAACCATGAAATAGAGATTTGTTGCGACGAAATAGAATTATACCATTGATTACATAGCGTGCAAGTACTTCATGAATGCTAATAAACTTGGCTGTTGCCAATAATCAGAATTTTTTCCATGAAATTCAACAATCGCTGGTTATTGCACTCTTGACGGCAATGTAATGACACTCGGCTGGTTGTTTTTTTTTAAATTCTATTTGTTAGGTAAATTTCTTCGAAAATGTAAATATGTAAAATATTTAGAATTTTATACGTACCGATCAGCTTTTCGAACACCAGACCAGAGCGCACCTGTGACTGGTGGCATGAAACGCAAAGATCCAGTCGGCGGCGATGCATACGGAATGCCTTTGAATGCTTCAACCGGATCCAAATGTCGTCCTTCCAAGTGTACAATTACGCCTGACACCGAACCATATTTTGTGTGCACGACACGTGACGATAATTGTACTGTATCTGCACCGATGCCACCTAAATTGGTAATTTTATTATTGTTGTTGTTGTTATTGTTGCCATTAGCAGCTGCATTTGATGTGCTACCACTGTCACCATTATTGTTATTAATAACATTGTTTATGTTGGTGTTGCTGCTGCTGCCTCTGCTGAATTCCGTTGAAATCAACAGAAGAAATATTAGCCTCATCATAATGAATGTATCTCTTCTTTTTTCTACAACCACATCGACAAATTGTGACACTATATATCGTTGCTGTTGCACAAAAACACGCACTCGCCTCAATTGATTTTTATTCGATTTTTCCCTTGGTAACCCTTTTATTATTTTTTTTTATTATTTATTCGCGTAACGTGTTTTTTTTTCCTCTTTGCTTCTTCTCTCGTTAATTTTCAGAGTTTTCAATTTATTTTATATTGTTTGCGCTGTGTTTATCGAATCTTTTTTTCTGCTGAATAAGAAGTTTTTGTATTCGCCGGATTGTAACAACATTTGGTATAATATTCTGTTCACTGTTATCGACCACTATGAGTTCGACAAAAATGGTTTACCGCGCATTGACTCAAGCTATACCAGTATGTGATACATGCACGTTCGTGCACTTTATTCGCACTGCTTGTTCGTATGTGTATGGTTAGTTTTTCTTCTCTTGGCAACTTTGTAACACCAATTTATTTGCCATCGACATTTATTGTTCCGGGATATTTGTTCGTAACTTTTCTATTGAGTTGCTGTTTACACGCATATGACTTTCTGCGTTTCAATGTATCAAATTTTGTCACTTTTCCAATTTTTCATTCGAATCCGTGTTGTCATTGTTTTTTTTTATTTCACCGTTTTTATGAGTTTTTCAATAAATCGAACACGATTTTTTGTCTAAATTAATTAAAAACCTTCGAACTGATAGAGTTGGTGGCCATACATTTTCAATTTTTGCAATTGACAATCTAAAATTTTTGGAGAAACATAGAAAGAGGAAAAAAAGAAGTAAAAAAAAAAACAATTTAATTATTGAATGACATTTTTTTTCTACATTTAATTAGTCCAAATAGACCATATCAAATTTAAATGATCGTTTCATGTGCGCAAGTCATATTTGAATGAATACATTTGTTTTTCATTGTTCGTTCATCTAGTGAAATGAAATGAAAAGCAAAAGCATGATTCAAAACAAACATGAAAAAGTATTTGGCTCGGTTGGATGATGTGTTGGATAAATATTTACTGTATATATAAATACAAATATAAACGAACATTTGCGCAAACCACAAATGCGACGAAAAAGAAAAGCAACCAAATGAAAAAAAAAACTGCCGAATAACCACAAAATTTTTGAATAATGAATGTGAACGCATGCAGTTAACGTATGAATGCTGACCAAAGGAATATCGCATATACACAAACACAGTGAGATAGACATTGGTGCGGAAAGGCGAGGTAGAAATAGCGAAACTGTACTTTATGATTTGCATCTCGATATAGCCAGTTCCGATTTTATGTGGAAAAGCCACATTCGCAAAAACAAATTCCATTTTATGTAAATAATGATATTTCTGTTCTGGTTCCAAAAAACTGGGCACGTTTTGCAAACGCTTTCAAATTTCGAATCAAACGAATTAAAAGTAAACCAAATTATATCTGTCGGAAAATGAAATGGAATAAATTGAACTGAAAATCTGGAATTTGTTTGATGCGCTAAAAGCGAATGAGGAGGATTTGTAAAACCTATTAAAAAGCTCTATTTTTGGGTGGCTCACATGAAAATTACAAACTTTCGTTAACATGATTGCTATAGATCAAATGGCCATGCTTGTATCTTTAGCCACGAACTCTTTTCCAGATTTATTTTCTATTTTCTGTTCCATATTTTTTCCGTAATTTGAGATGGTTCAAGAGACAGAAAGAAAAAAAAAAGAGTGCAACACTTTTTTGTGCCTTCCAATTGCATCGAGTATTCCATGGTGATTGGGAATTCCCGAATATGGTAGAGATGAAAATAAAAATGCCGTACAATTCAAAAACTAATGAAAAATGTAGTTGATTTGAACTGAGACTTATAGTTATGCAATGGCCTTGTGGAATAGAAACCACACAGCGCATACGTGATAGAGGAGCACAATGTACGCGACTGAATATTTATTTGGATGGGTTAAATGTGTACATGAGCATGTTTAGCGAGAGAGCAAAAGAGAACGAACAAGAGACAAGTGTTGATAATCGTGGTTGTGTGATGGCGACATGAAGAGTGTCATCGTTTTCATCGTATGTCGCATGCTCAAACTTAGTAGCACATGATTAAATTCGAAGGTGTATATTGTTCAAAACCAAAAATATCCAACACAAGCATGAGAGCGAGATCGACAACCAGAAATTATTGAAGCACGATGCAGTTGAATAACGCACACATCAAACACATATGATGACTCAATACACTTGTGAATATGTAGATTACGTCTGGGAGTTATGGAAACGAAGCGAATCAAATATCTGCCTGTACGTTGGGGTTTGTATGCAGACATGAAGTGCTAGCTGCTTTTTTTCTCACTCACCCCTATTCATGTTTTATGTATTCACAAGACTCGAGCATTTTATGCAATTCTGTAGTAAATGATTTTATGCCGTTGATTTTTTTTTGTCGCATTCGTTGTTGCATCCTAGCCCGCTGCGCATTATTATTTTAACATTTTTCTCGCTGGAATGAAAACTCATTTCGTTTTTGTCTTTAGTTCGTTCGGTCCATATAAATGAATGCGAATCGTTTTGCGTGTGTGAGTGTGGTGCTTTTTTCGCGCGACCATTTTATTTTATAAATCATCAACGGCTGATGTTGTCGCTCGTTATTTTCATTAAATTCTATATGTAGTTTTTTTTTCACATGCCCTGCAAAGCCTTTGCTAAAGGAATATTGTTTTTATTTCTGCGGTTTCTATTGTGATTTACAATTTTATGCATACTTATATGTTTGTCTGTTCGCGAGATCACTTGTGTTTATTCAACGAATGTATATCATATGTTTGCAAATATTTGCATGAAAAAAATATTTTTTAAATAGATATTTTTGGGCTTGGGTGATTTTTACTTCTCGCTTTTTGCCACTTACTTTCACCATTATTCTCTATTGCCCATTCTCAATCGCTCACAACAATACAAGTAATTTTAACCACCATCACCATCCACGTACAGCTGTGCGTAATCACCATTCAATGTGATTTTTTGCCAATTGTGTGCGTACCTCTCTCTCTCTCTTTCTCTCTCCCCATCTCATTGCCTTATTATTATTGGCATTCAACATTTTGAAATGTTGATATTTTTTCCGGTCAGCTTGAAGGTGAGACCACTCGCTGATATTTCCCTCCAAGGTTTTTTTTCTCACCATTTCCAATAATATTTTGCCAACAAGTAATGAAAAAAAAAAACGAAAAAAATATGCAAATATAATGAATTTGCATGGTTGAGCATCGAAATGCACAAGAAAGGCGAATTGAAATGTTTGATCCATATTAAGCGGCATTAAAATTGAGCAACGCTATGAATTTGTGGAACGAGATAGAACGAATATAATTCGATTTATTCGCATTTCAGTTGTGTTGTGGATAAAACTGCTGCTTTTGTTGTGATTTAATCTGGTTTTGATGGAAACGGTTGTTGCATGACCAAATAAATATTCAAATGAAATATCCTTTGTCATTTGATAGCTATAAAGTTATCCTTACCGAATATCGTTTTTTGTGCCATCGAACATTTCATGCTAATGCTACACTGCCTACAATTGATCGCTGTGCAATTCCATCGTTCAACGCATGTGTGTTCAATCTATCTGATGATTGTTTTTACTGATGCTACTGCTATTGCTGCTTGGAAATTGCCTGCAAATGAACAAAACACAGACGAATTGAATGAATAAATTACATTATGCTGGAGGTAAATGAAAGATATTTTAATTGAATTTGGTTTTCGATGTTTTTCACTCTATGATTGCATATCCACTATCCAATCCCCAACATACACGTATGCAATATAATAGTGTTGTGTGGCATTTCGCTAACGTTGATCTTCCATCTCAAAATGGGATTATGAGCAGCTTTTATTCGTAACCAAAAACGAAACTATCGTTTCAATATCCAATTTGACAGTCTGAAATACGGTTATTGGTTATCGAATCAAAAGGTCCAATTCGTTTTTAGCACTTTATATGCTTTTGGATTAGATGAGATTTTGGCCAGATATGTACTACATATTTATGCGTTTAGATCGTGCTCTTTTTTGTCTTTCGCGTACAAGCACACTAACACATACACTACAAATATTCCATCTATTTTCATTTGATGATTACCGATTCCTTTTTGAAAAATGTATCTGACGCACTGTGTGATTGTGCTCGCTCGCAATCAGCATCGTAAATTTCAGATTTAACCGACCAATCCATTCGCTTCTTTGTATTATCATATATCTGAAATTGTGATGAAATTCAACGGTTCGTCGCCATTGTTTTTCATATCATAAATTTCAACACCATCAAACTTGATGGTTTTGTGAAACTTGAGTGTAATATATATGCCATATGACACATATATATAGATGGCAAGAGTGTGTGTTTATGTGCCAAATTCCCTATATATTTAAATCGTTCAATGCAATTTCGTATTGATTTTTTATTTCAACGATTACTCTGTCTCCCCAACACCGTCTAATGCATTCCATGACACATTCCAACTGACACATTATGTGCACGAATGCCTGAACAAAGTATCAATAAATATGTGTGACAATGAGGAGTCACACACCATTCAAAAAACCATAGCCGACAGATTTAGTGCATCAAAAATCATGTCTGATGGACGTTCAATGAGCACCCGAATACCACTATATTGTCGCTTGCACAACAATGTAAAATATCTCTCTCAAATCATTTTCAATGTTGCTGCATGTGCAGAATTCGTATAGAACGACTGAACAAGAAAAAAAATGCTCATTTGAACTTTTGTTTATGATATTCGTTCCAAATTGTTTTTCTCTCTTTTTCTTTGCCTGTTTTCTCGTCCACATTTTACCATCGCAATTTTTGTTCACTCATATGCGAAAAACGGCAACCAGCACACAATGAGAAAAAAAAGCACCACAATCATCCCCGGATCAGATTATACAAAACGAATAAAGTGATTGCAATATGTGTGCACATGTATTATTCTTTTTTTTGTTCCTCTATTCGTTATGCATTTGCAATTTGAATTGGTTGCACAAAACTTTTCATACAATCTATGTGTTATTTTTGTTTCTCGAATAAAAAATCAAATTTAAAAATTGCATTTAGCTGTGTGATAATTTGAGTGACTGAAATAGTTCAGATGTGCTAAAAATGCGATTAGCTGTGTTTTTCCAATTCCATTTGTATTATCGATTCTGCTACTTTGTTTTACATTTTCTGCCCCGATTATTTCTGCGTCGTTTTTTTTCTGCTGTTTTGTTCCAATTTTCATTCCATCAGATATGTGCCAACAATGTTTTTCAAATAATATTTTTCGGGGTTTTGCGTGTGTATGCGCGCTATATTTAGCAGAAAATATGATAGAGTTTAACCGCATTTATTTGCACGCTCTTTGTACCTCCATTGTTTCAGTTCGTTCGATCAAATCGTCAAATCGAATTATGATGAAGGGTATTTTATGAATAGAGAGCATAGAAAATGGAAAAAGTCAAATGCGCGCAAACAGTACATATTTCATAAAATATATGGGTGCATGTATCGAAAGCAATAAAATGAGGGCTGTGCTATGAAACAATTTGAAAATTTCAAATAAAGCAAAATATGATTATATATTCCTAGGGGCAAATGACTCGTTGTAAGTTCATAAGTATCTGTAAGTTTCACAAGTTCGCGTAAGAACTCTTGAGTTCTACATACATTTTTGTAAGTTCGTCTAAGTTTTACGTAAGTTCCTATAGATTACTAGTAAGTTTTTTAACGTCAATTGAAAATCGCAGAATGTTGGAAATGGTAATAAATTTTAGTCATGTCGAATCAGATAGAAAATAATTTGTATAAATATGTCGAGACAGTTTTCGGTGAAAAAATACCAAGAAATATAAATTCGTCTAATTAGACGTCATTTTTGAAAGAGTCGGTCTTGATAGTGAATAATCAGTAATAAATGAAAGTTGCATGGAATCTCAGTCAATTCAACAAAAGTAGTTTGTAACAAAAGTAGTTTGGCTTGAATTGACTGAGATTCCATGCAAATTTCATTTAATACATCCATCAGTCGGTAGTACAATTTGTTTACAATAATCAGTAATGTATCTCAAAGATCCACAAAGAATTATTGCTTATGAGTCTATGAGTCTATGAGTTTTGAGAGCGATGCTTCAATATTAAAATCAGATCTTTTAAGGATGATATCCAATTTACTAGGTAATTTTTATTTTAAAATACGTTCTACTTTTTTGTACAAATTATTTGCAGCGTGAGATGTAATTAAAAAAAGTTGACCAGCGTTGTGTCATTTGACTACTACATGTGCGACTGTTTCGGCATGTTGACGCATATCGAACTTACAGCAGTGTGTTAATGTATATGGACAAAGCGTAAGTTCGTATAAATTCTCATAAGTAGCGTGCGATTTCATAAGTTCGTGTAAGTTTTTGTAAGTTTTTCGTACAATTCTATAGGTTTCGTCGAACTTATAAGTAGTCATTTTCCCCTAGATATATTCTAGAAAATAAAATGGCAATAAGAAATCAAATCAAAATAATAAAATTTCATAGATCGAAAAGAGGACGAAGATCGAAGCACACCAAACAGTAAGAAAAATATGAAAATGACAATCAAACATTTGCACAATGACGAGCCAAAGCGAAAATAGTTCGAACTTGGTGAAATGCAATAATCTAAAATGGAAAAACATTACAATGGAAACAAAAGTTTAAATCGAAATTTTTATTTCTTGATATATATTCTTCCTTGCTCAATCGATAAACCGTTTTTTGCTTGTGCATGAAATTTCTGTACTTTGGTTCACTCGGCGTTGTCAGATGGCAAGCAACAGCAGCACTAAGCACAAGTAGCGAAAGCACAACATCAAAAAATGTGTCGAGCAATGGAACGGGCAAATAACAAGAACCGAGAATAGGAAATGCCATCCGCCTTTTTTTTTTTCTTCATCGATGTAGTTTAGCGTATACAATATTTCCATTTTGTTGACAAAAAGAATGTGTACGTACATCAATAAATATTATTATTTTGAGGAAGATGAGAAACAGAGATATTGCAACGGGGATAAATTTAGCTTGTTTATTAACAATGACGAGAGAAAGAAAGAGATATTGATAAGAATATGTTTCTTATGCGCAACATTTTTTTTCTCGATTCAATGAACTTTCAAATGGATACAAGGGCCTCAATTGTTCAGCTCTGATATAATATGATGTGACACAACCACTCAGTTGAGCTTTTGTCCGCTTACTTTGTCTATCCTTCCCGCTCACTCTCTCTTTATCTCAAAACTTCTATCTCCATTTATCTCTATCTGTCTCGTGCTTTATTTTTCGCATTTTATGCCATGCAATGCAAACGCACCACTCAAAGGTTATTCACATTTATCATATCAACCATGAAGTATATGTAACTCGCTTGCAGCGAATAGAACCATATCTGACATCTGTTGTTGCCAGTGTTACCCCAAAGCAATGGAAAATTTATGTTAGGCCAGTGACCAAACAAACTTCATCGCCGTTCTTATACAGTGTCACATTTGCTACACACATTTTCAATTTTGTGCTATTTTCGTTGCTTACACCAAGCATAGATATTATGGAATGAAGGCAATCCTCAACTGTCAATCAAATGCTTCAAATCGCAGCTACAATATCAGGATGATAATATAGATTTTGTGGAAGCCACATGAATGACATTCGCTTGAGGCATCATCATTGCAATTTTCACTCTTCCATGTCCAGATGGCAATTTCAATCGTGTGCTTACAACTCGTTGAAATCGTTTTTTTACACATATACCAACACACACACAGCTCTTGTGTGAACTTGATGTTTTATGTTGTGTCTGCGTTGCGTGGCTGTGAAATATGACAGCTTCCTATTTTATCTCCTCTCGTCATATAAATTCAAAGACAAAACAAAAAAATGCGGAAAAAACATAATTTTCAATGGCAAACAAGCGCGAAGAAAACATAAAAAAAGTCCACGTTTGAAATATGAATGGAAAATATACAAACACAAAAAATAAAAAGCATGTTTTGTTTTAAAATGTTTCATTTTGATACAGAAATTCCGAATAAAAAAGAAGAATCTACACGCATGTTTATTGTATAAAAGGGAGCTTTATAGATATTATTTCTTAACACCAAAGATGTCCAAACGTGTCTTTTTTTGTAATGGATTTCTTTTTGTTTCTTCGTTCAACGGAAATGTACACATTTTTTTTCCTTGTGGTGGCTTAGCACCGAAGATTTATTACTTTCAGTTTGAAGAACAAATGACACATGCGTACAGAAAAAAAACATGCAAAAAATAATACTTGTATTACAAGATAACTTGTGTTTAAGGAAACATGAGCAATCTAAAAAAAACCAATGATAAAAGATTATCTGTTGGTATTGAAATGTGCCATATCTTCTGTTACAGTAAACATGAAATGTGACGACCCATGCGAAAATGTGTATGTCACTCAAGTGCTCATGTATCCATTTTAACATCAGGCAGTGGCAAAATTCGTCAAAATATCCACTCATATGTTTGGCCTTAAAATCCACTCACATTTGTTGGGATGTTAAAAAGCCTTTTTCATTGTGACCACTTTTGACATTGATTTATTTAACAATCCGCCTCATTTCGTAGTTTAAATCACTGACTC